ACAACCAACCCCCACCCCCACCCCTCACCCCCGGCCTGCTGAGAATGGTGTCTGGCCCTGGGAAAGGAAATCTGGAACTGTGGGAGAAAGAGATTTCTGAATTTTTCCTTAGCTGTAAAACCTCCTAGGCTACTGGAATTTCCTATTTATGTTGCAGGTTGAAGTTGTACGTTGACACTGCTGAAATCTCTGGCATTTTGGAAATGGGAGGGCCGTGTGAAGCAAACAGCAGCTGTTGTCAGGATTGATAACTCAGTTGACTTTGTGCCAAGCTAAATGTTGCTTCCCAGCTTTAATTAAATCCCCCATCCCATTTCTTAATGGAAATTCAACCTATGCACAACCTCCTTGCTTGGTCACTGGAGTGCAGGGACCACACTGCAGGATTTCAACTGTGGAACAGCTGAGGCTTTGGGAAATAAGTCTGATAAGTTGGCATTTGCCTCACAGACTTTCTGTCAAGCAGCTTGCTCTGGCAGTGAGACAATATTCTGTGATGCTAAAGGTGAGGTGTCCCTGAAAAATATTCCACTCCTGCAGACATACAAAGATGCTGTCAGTCAGAGGCATGGATAAGCCCTGTAACAGAGCTCATCAGCCACTGGAGGGGAACTTATCTATATTCAGTGAGTTCTTCATTGAAGGGAATTATGCAGGGAAGTAAAGTTTTCTCTCTTACTTCATATTGTTTTCAATTTACAGGAAAAAATGCAAAGTTGTCACAACCCTTGAGAAAGCCTCTCCACCTCTGTTCCCCGGATAAGAGAAGGGCTCTCAGCTCCATTACCCTCATGAGAGCAAAGCAGTCCTTCTCTTATGAGTCGCCCCACCAGTCCCCACACTCCACTGACCCTCAGTGCCAGCCAGAGCCCTGCCAACTGCAAGAGTTATAACACGACACCGCCCACAGCAGTTGTGGGCTAGTCGACACCTGGAATGGACTGTATTTATAGGGTGTCTAGGTCCTGTTCTCGCTGTCCTGTTCACCTATGTGTGTGAGTAACAGCAGGGCTCATCTCCCAGGGTATGGGGAACTGCAGCTTCAGCACTTGCTGCCAGAGCTCTGCCGGCCTCCAGGCTGCACCCCAAGCAGGGGGGCTGACTGGGACTCTGCCAGGGGATCTTTTGGTGTGGAGATGCTGGGGCAGCGATTTCGGTTCTCAGGAATCCACAGGGAGCACAGGGCTGGTGAAACCCTTCAACTCACCCCAGGGTCACTCACACGAGGTACAGGGAGTGGCATTACTG